CCGCCTTGTCATCTTACAGGCTGGTGTGCTTCTTCCATGTGGACTTTGTTGTTTCTCAGTTAGATGGCCCCTTGTTTATCTTCCAGCATGTGGGAACCCAGATTCTGTGTAATTTGGCAGCTTGGCACCATCAGCTTTCTTTACTGCATTTGCTTATGTACCCACTTTGTCTTCAGCATTTGTGTCGGCTCTTCTTTTTTGACGGTAGTGAGATTCTAATTTCTGTCTCTGAAATGACTCAATTAGTCCTAACATGATTTCGAATGTGACTAATCCTCATGTTAGGTTTCAGACAATTTATTTACGTAACCACAAGACACAAAGGCACGAATGTATTGTTGAGCAAGCTGCCCAATCCTCTTAAACCAAAAAATAGACTCACTGCCATCAAGTTCACACTGACTCATAGCGAGCCTATATGACAGGGTAGAACAGCCCTCGTGGGTTTCCAAGGCTGTAACTGTGTAGAAAGCCATGTCCCTCGGAGAAGAAAGCCCATCTTTCTTTCGAGGAGAAATTGGGAGTTTCCAACTGCTGACCTTGCACTTAGCAGCCCAACAGTAACCACTGTGCCACTAGGGCTCCTTTGCCTCATCCACATTGGTGGGCAACAAACCCACATAAATAATTTGGAAGAAGTTAAGGGGACATAGCTAGAAAGACTGTATACTTGTATAGGCCAACTATCTAACTCAGTGGTTCTCAGCATTCCTAATACCGCGACCCTTTAATACAGTTCGTCATGTTGGGGTGACCCTCCAACCATAAAATTACTTTTGTTGCTACTTTATAACAGCAATTTTGCTACTGCTGTGAATCAGGCAGCCCCTGTGAAAGAGTCGTTCGACCGCCAAAAGGGGTTTCGACCCATAGGTTGAGAACCATAATCTAACTGCATTAGGTACTACAAATAATGCTACATTAAAAACATTATCTATATTGGGATTCAAAAGTGCACTCACTATTGGGGGATGTATACTTCTTCATTTCTATATATATTTCAATCTAATAGATGTCATGGAGCTGTTTATTATGGAGCCTTAGTTTTGACATGTGTTAAGAGTTGGACTGCTATCCTCAAGGTCAGAGGTACACACCCATTAGTTTCCCGTCCTGGCTTTAGAGTATTGGAAGCTCTGTATAGCAGTTCTTCTCTGTCCTATCAGCGGCTTATACATCTAACTCTACTTGATGGTGAGTTTTAAAGTGTTTCTAAAGTGATTGTACAATTTATAGTTCTTCTATAAAATAATCTTTAGTTTATAATAGCTCTTTATAGAGCCCATTTAAAATTGTCTCCAGATGCTTTAATTAACATAATCATCTTAAATGTTCATTGATTTGTCATTCTCCTTGAGAGTCACACAGTAAGGAATTGATAGTTTTGTATGCTGTGAGGTAGGGATCCACATTTTTTGCTTCTTCTTTTTGACATTTATATTTGATTGCCTAATCTCTATTTGTTATAAAGTCATCTTTTATTCACATGTCTGAAAAGTATGAGTTTTAGATTTTGTTGCTCATGTTATAAGCATGCTTCGGGCACCGTTAACAGTATTGGGGACTTTGAATGTTAAGAAGAGGGAAAGAACAGTTACAACATCTGGACCTACAGGTTATGGTGTTGCTCACATTGTATTCTCCCATCAGCTTGTAAATTGTGCATCACCACCAGCTTAGAGGAAGGAGGACGTGCCTGGTATTATTACTTTTGGGATGTCCTCATGAGAGATTGAAATTTGTGAACATCATTAGTGTTGATCCAGAGAAGACAAACAGAGCATCCCAGTTGCTGGCAGTGTCCTAAGGACCAAAGAAAATGACCAAGGCTCAGGTGATTCTGATGTGTTTTATCTTATTCTGTATTTCCTACTGGAATTGAAGAAGCCTGTATAATACTGATTTAGTTCATTGGAAAAGTGGAAATTTGAAATTGTAGAAGTTAGAAATAAACTGACTCTGACTTCAATATTTGGCTGGAGAAGATTAGGAATATATTGATCATAGGATTAATACTAACCTATTGACATTGAACATAATATATCACTGAGGACTCTGGATTACATTAGCTTCCAACTCATAATTTATTATTCTAGGGCCAGAATCATTCAAATGATGTGTGATGCATAGTTTTTATGGAGAAATAAAATCATTTCTTTAGGAGAGTTCACTATTCCATGGGATTTTTGTCTGATTAAGTTTCTTTAATGCTTCTTTCTGAAGGTGATATGTTACATACGTTCCCAAACAGCAGCATTCTCATTAATGCATCTAAAAAGGGCCCTGTAGCATTAGTGGTTTAAAAATGGTTGACCGCATCTCACCTCCTGTAACTATAGATGCAGGAGAGAGAATCAACCATGAACATCAGCTCTGATTCGTAGGAGGCAGAGCTTAAACATACCTGTACCCTCCAATGGTTTTCAAGTTATGACACCAGTATCTTTGCCACAGCCCTCTCCTACTCAGCTCACTAATATTTTGCACTGGCCATGGACAAATTGCAGCCCAGAGTCACAGGTACAAGTTTTATTTGGTAACAGAAGGTAACTTGGTATCAGAATCAAGAGATTACCCATTAGCATTCCTATTAAAGAACCATGTAGGCACATTTGCGCTTCTTCAGAGCAGGCCTATTTTCCCTGTCCCCTATCAGACATTTTTCCTTCTATAGGTAGGCTCATTTCTTAGTTCCATCTTTATAGGCTCCTCTCAGCTCCTTTGGGATATACTCTTCTTCTTTCTTTTTTTCATGTATTAAGTTTATTTATAAACATAACCAGCATGCTATTAAGTTCAGCAGAGCTTGATCCAATTTTCAGAGGTTGGACTTCATACAATGTTCTTCTCACCTGTTTCACAGATGAATTTAAGCATCCTATTTCTGAAGCAGTTGGTGTCTTACTATAAAGAAAAGGTGCAGCAAATCCAGACCCAAAGAACATGGTCATCATAACCAGTAACCGCCACTTGTTTTCCACAGAAAATGGCAAATTCTTCCCAGGGCCCTCCTCATAGTGGCTCCTCCGGACCACAGAGGTGGTAAACCTCCGGATGCTCTATCCCAACATGGCGCTGTTGGAGGCTCTGCAAAACTCGCAGAGAGAAACCACGGAAGAAATGGCGGTACCAGTTCCTGCTTTCGACCTTTTCCCCCATGCGCAAGGTCCGGGATATACTCTTCTTAATATTGCCTGCCTGTCCTGCTATCTTGGCTGAAAAGCCCTTTCTGGACCTGTCAGCATTGGCTCTCACTGTGTCCCATCTGTCCTGGCCATTATCTCCATTGGTACAGCTCTTGACCCATGAATATTACAGTTCATTTTGCAGGAGCAGCATTAGACCAGTCCCTATGATGTAGAGGTTCAAGATGTTCCATGATTTTCTCTGCAGCATCTCACAAAACTAAATAGCTATCTGGTAAATAAATCCCTCTTCAAGATGTGGATGTTGGTGAGTCCCAAATCTATGTACAGATCAGGTATCAGTCTGTGGGGTTCTCCTCATTAATGTGTTTGCAAAGGCTGATGAACCAGATCATCAGATCAGACAACAGTCCACTGCCTCACAAAGTGAAGTTGTTGAATATGGTCAGATAATAAGTTGCAGGGCTGAGGAATCCATATGGGAAAGTCATGCAGAAAGCTGTTGGCTCATAGAGTGGAGGAAGCTCTCAAGTCAGGTCACCAGGTGGCTCGCAGTTGTCATTCAATGGCTCATGAATTTCTGGAAGCTGGCAAATCCCTTATCCATCGGTTCATTCTGAACTCTGGCTGCAGGGGCTAACAAAACTAAATGTGTGTATCTCTCCTCACACCATGCCTGCAGGCAGTTCTCTCTCTCCCTCTTAATATGGTGGCTTCTTGGTCCGACCTAGCACCTTCCCTGCCTAGGCACGATTAGGAGGGCTCCAGAGATCAACCCAATGGCAACAGAAGTAGGAGGGGCCCCTTGGAGAGCATGTGATAAAAGATGGCAGGTTCAAGAGGACCTTGCAATTAAAGTTAAGGCAATACAGTCCGAAGGAGGCTGAGAAGATTTGTCCTAAGGTTGTCAAGAGGAGCTTGTCCTAAGATGGCCTTTAAGAGCCTAGAAAGTTGTTCTGCATTCAGGAAAGGGAGATATTGCCTATGAACATTCTGATATTGGTTCTTAGTTATAGCTTCTTGTTCCTGATCCCGAGTTGTACCTGGTTCATTAATAGACCACTTTGATCTATTCGGTACAAGTTTTATTTGGTAACAGAATGTAATTTGGTATCAGACAAAGAGTGATGTGGGAGGAACGACTTGTGTAAGAATTGACAAAATATGTGGGAGAGCTGAGGTATGGTTGGCCTTCCCCATCTGAACTGTTCCTGATGCCTATCACCACTGAATGTACAGAGCCTCTTATAAAGGTGATACTGCTAGAGCTCCTCATTCCTTTTCACAATGTACTGTAAACTGGTTTGTTAATATAAACAAATGTGTGCGAATATAAATCTGAGCTTTTTGTATCTACTTAGTGTGAATATAAATCTGAGCTATTTATAGCTCATTCAAATAATTTCACTGGTACTCAGAATTCTAATTTTATAAGTGGGTGCATTATTTTGGGGCATGGTGGTCCCCAACACTCAAACAGTGATCCTCAGGAGTGACATTGCAATTATGGCAAGTGTTAAAGGCAGAGAGCACACAGTGGGGAACAGGGGCTCCTTATCCCATGTCAGGACTGACAAAGTGAATGTATTTTCTAATGGGTATATGTAATGGACCTTACAGACCTTTCCATAAGGCGTGCACATCGTGCAATTAGCGTATACATAGTCAATGGGTAATATCATAAGTGGGTAACATAATAAGCAAGATGGTGAGTTACCATCTTGACCTAGTGCTAGTTGATGTCAAACCCACTCTGAGCCCTCCCTAAGCATTTGCTACATTTATGATGATTTGGCTATAGGACCTGATTGCTCTGATCTACAGATAACCTTCAGGCATAGTGAAGTAGCCAGGCACAGAAATGATTCATTTACTATGGTAGCTCCTTTAAGACTGCTCCTTAATGGAGAGCTATTGTTGGGGGAGCACATTATTTGGCCTGGAGAATATGAAATGAATATGTATATGAAAACATTTATTTCTCAGAACAATGGAGCTCTTTCTGAAAATAGGGCTAGTTTTCCATTCTCATGTTTGTGAATATAGAAATAAGTCAAATACTTTCGTCCATGTCCTCAGTTTACTACACATTAAGGAATGTACCATTTTTATTACTGTTTTATAAGATTTCTTTTTAATCTTCAATTGGAAAATACATCATTAAATATGATTCCTCTTACTACAGGAATCCCTGACATTCAATGATGTGGCTGTAAAGTTCACCCGGGAGGAATGGCAGCTCCTGAGCCCTGCTCAGAAGACCCTATATCAGGATGTGATGTTGGAGAACTATCACAACCTGGTTTCCATTGGTGAGGAGAATTCTCAAGTCATTGGTCTCGTCATTGGCTTATGTGTTAGAATCTTTGCAGTGTCTGTGGTGTTCTCAAAGAGGTAGATTCTCACTGTGTTCTCTGGTCCTAAGTTAGTGGGTAAGGTCTTCCACTCTTGTGAGAATACCCTTTACTTTGTTCCTTTGAACATGATTTTCCTAGAAATACAACATTCTGCAGGCTTTAAAAAACTTAGGTAAATTTCAGTGTCTAAGATTCTGTAATTTCTCAAAACATGTTATTTAGTTGATATCCCAGAAGCTTTCTCTCAATTCCAACAAGGAGAACTGCGGTTGGTATTAGAATCAAGATATAGTGGAATTTTTTCAGGTGCATGGTCAAAATACCTTAAGGGGAATTGCCTGGAGGAGTTGACTCAACTGGCAGAAGGCCTCACATCCATGGTAGGTGTCATAAAAATGCATAAAAGTATGTGCTTCTCTGAATGTGAGAGGTCACTTTTCCTAGAAGTTGAGAGAAGTACTCCTGTAGCTCTTGTGAGATTAGATTTCCATTTATACTATTGTATGTTTGCTTCCATAATTTTCTTTAAGATTCTCAAAACGTCCCCTCTTTTATATGCTTCTACCTTACTATGAAAATCCATCTTGCAAGCCTCTCTCCAACTCTGAATTTGTAACTGCCCTCTGAATACAGCACATTCCTCCCCTACTAAGTAAGAATGGATTGCCCTTTTTAGTACGCAACACCATCTTGGATCTTGAGCTCCCACTGTAAATGGGTCTCCTTTGTGCTTCCTTAGCTTCCTCTCTTGGAGTTTCTCTAAAGGTTTTGATGTCCATTTTCTCAATTGTTCTATCGCTTTAAAGTTTTCTTCATTCTGGTGAAATAAGTTCTTTCTGTTTTCTTATACAGAGTCAAATTGCTTTCACTGTTGGAATTCCTTAACGGACATATTTTTCCTTTTGGTGAAACACATTTATAACTTCTGTTATTTTCATGTATCTAAAATCATCTTTCTAGCAAGAAAATTGTTATCAAATTAGGATATACTGTAGCATTGTACCTCCATTTTTTTTCTACTTGTAAGATATTTTAAAATTTTCTGTTCCTCCGATAATTTTGTAAGTGGAAAGGGCATTTTTAACATCCTGCATTCTTGTTTTTTTTATTAAACGCATATCTGCTATATATTCCTTGCTATGCAGTATTCCTTCCTTAGACCCACCCCTTCTTAACAGGTCCAAAGCCTGAAAGATGACCTTTACTACTTTTAAAGAACAGTTTGGTTGTATGTTCCAAAAGATTTTTTTTTGCTGTTATTCAGATAATGCACAGTATATTCAGTATTTTTCTCTCATTTTCTGTCTATTCAATATTGCTCTCTCTCGTTTTCTGTCTTTTGAGTAGTCTTTTCATTTCCATGTGTATGATGATGTCCTTGGTGTCATCCCACAACTCATCTTGTCTCAGTCATTAGTCTTCAGTCATCAGTCTTGCCTTGTTTTGACTAATGAGCTTCCCCCTCATTTCTTTCTGTAGATGTGGTTGATTTGATTTTTGTTTGTCCCATTCAGTAAGATCCATGTGTATAGTTTCCATTTCTGTTGTTTAATAAGGAATTTGTTGTGAATTCATCATTGGTCTCAAAATTTTATCAGTAAACTTGTGTATCATTTCTGTCAGTAAGGCCACATTTTCCAACTACTGATAGTATTCCCAAATTTTACATTCATCAGTGTACTTCATTGTATGGTTGATCAATGTCAGTCTGTAAAAGTTATGTGACATTTTATATATATAAATACACTTAAATTTTTTGGGGAGCTCTTACAGATATCATAACATTCCATAGTTCAATCACATCGAGCAGTACTATACAATTGCTGCCACAGTTTCAAAACATTTTCTTCTTGAATTCTTTGATATCAGCTCCTCTTTATCCCCTCCCTCCCCCACCCTCAATTTCTTTATTGTGTAAAACAGAACTTGGATTACAGTGTAAGCAGCCTTATCTCCATATCCTGACCACAGGGCTTGGAAGACCAGTTACTAGTGTTAGAAGAAAACCTCCACAAGCCCCAAGGACATAGCTAGAGCTGATAATGCACAATCTCCAGATAGGGTTTCACCACAACTGCCCTCCAGTAAGATGTTAGTGTACAGCTCCTACAGGTGCCTGACTTCTTGCCTAGCTTTAAAAGCAATCAGGTACCCTTTGTTGCTATCATGCAAGGAATCAACTATCCCTTTGTCTCTTAAATGCCCTCTGGATGGGTCCTAAGGGATGGTTGTGTAATTGAAAGGCAGCCAGTTTTCACCAATTTTTATAGTCTCAGGGTATGCAACAACCTCCTGCCCTGCACACGTGTGCGCGCTCCCACACAGACACCTACCTACTTAGCAAGGTAGGCAGTATCTTTACCCTGGAGGTCCCTGACCTAATTGGGTGAGCAACTTAAGACCAGTGCTGAGGCTGAGGGCAGGTGGAAGGGAGTAACTGGCCCCTGAGAGAGAACAATAACAACCTGTCTGCTCTTGTAGTTAAAGCTGCTGGCAGATAGTAATGATGCTTGTATGAGGCATCATTGTTGGTTGAAAACATCTTGCCAACATTTGTAGAACATTAAGCGCCCAAGGTTGTTTGGGTGCAGGATGGTTGTTAGATGCTCCATGAAAGAGAAAAACTGTCTGAAAAGGATTTTCTTTTCCATAATACTCATGGGAGAAAGTAATCATGTCTTTAACAAACTGAATCACTGATTGGTTTTGAACAGCCACCATTTTGGCTAAAAGTTGAGCATTTAATCATTGTGCCACATAATTTTGTGGTCCATGTTCACCTAAGTATAACTTACATGCATCGACCTTTATTTCTGCAGATGAATATTTATCTTCTTGTTGGCCCATGTTTAGACATTATATAAATTTCTTCCATGTCAGCACTATTGCTATGTTTTGCTCCTGAGTATTTATTGTGTGGTGCTGTCTTCTGCATGGTGTGATTTTAGAAGCACCCTGGACACTATCTGTAGTGCCAGAAACAGCTGCCGTGGTTGTGAAAACTAAAATTGACTCCATTAATGGCCAAAACCCTGTAATTAATATCAAAGAGGAATTGATGCATTTGGGTTATGGTGTTAAGGAATAACATTAAATATATCATGAGTGGTCTGTTTTGAAATAAGCACATCTTGAATATTTAAAATTTTATTAGAGGCTCGTACAACTCTTATCACAATCCATATATAAATACATTGTCTGAAGTACATTTGTCCATTTGCTGCCATCATCCTCAAAACATTTGCTTTCTACTTGAGCCCTTGGTATCAGCTCCTCATTTTTTCTCCTCCATCCCCGCACCCCCCCTCCATCATGAACCCTTGATAATTTATAATTTATTATTTTGTCATATCTTACACTGTCTGACGTCTCCCTTCACCCACTTTTCTGTTGTCCAACATCTTGAATATTTCTTGGAAGCATTCAAGTAAGACTTTATTGCACTTATTTGGTCATGTCATCATGAAGAACTAGTACCTGGAGAATGGTCTTGTGCTTGGTAAAGTAAAATGTTAATGAACAAGAGAGAGACTTTCAATGAGATAGATTGTCACAAAGGCTGCAATGATCAGTCCAGAGGAATGATTGTTAGGATAGTGCACGTCCGGGCAGCATTTCATCCTGTTGTACATAAGATCTCTGTGAGTTGAAGCCAACTCAGGCGTACCTAAGAATATCAACACATACAATATTATCCAGGTCACTGTAAGTTAAAATTATTACATTAATATATGTGTGATCATGTATGAATGAATACATCTGATTGCTTAGAGGAAATTTGGGACTTACAAGAGAAATTTTTCCTGCATTAAGATTTCTTTATGGAGACTTTTTGTGTAAAGTAGTTATGCTTTGGGCTGAAATCTGCACATATACAGTTTAAAACAACCAGATGTTCCATTGAAGAGAGGGCCTTTTACTCCTGTAAACAGTTATAGTCTCAGAGACCCACAATGGCATCACTGTGAGCTGGCATAGACTCTGTGGTGGTGTTTGGTGTTTTGGAATGTCTCTGGCTTTGACAACAAATCTAGTTAGTACAGTCAATTGCAGGACATATCTCAAGACATAAGACATAACTGAACTCTGTTATATATATATGGTGAAAGATAGACAAAGCCCATTCCAATGAAAAGAAGGCACGTTCAGATACATGAAGATTCTCCAGAGTGTATGCATGATAATCCATAGAGATGTGCTGAAAACATGGAGGAAACCGCAGCTTCTGAGGAAAGCATCCCTGACTCATCTCTCTTGCGTGTCCTGGAACCATGGCCTGTTGCAGGGAGGTTTGTGTCTGGGCTCACACTGGCTTCCCAT